ATCTGGTCGTTAAAAATTCCCACAAAAGCCTCACGAAAGTTTATGTTAGGAGCAGATTTAGCACTCCAGTGGACTTGTCTAGCAGGTAAGGGTTGTCGCTCGAATAAATGAAGCGGCTGCAAGCAATCTGGCTAACTTTGCGTTTCCCAGAAGATATGAGTCGCCTACGACCCTATTGAGAACAAGAGGCCGCACAAGCCTAGGTGGGACTCCGACCCGAACTTGTATTTCTGAGCTGCTTATCTGTGCGATTCCTATCTAACTTTTTGCCTACAACTGAGCACTTCGCGATATTACTTGCCTGAAGAAAATAGTCATGATTGGAACAACAGTAAGCCAAAAACGTTCCGAAAGAAAATATCGCCATTTTAGATATAGACAGTCACTTCCATGAAGAACACCTAACGAATCAGACCGCTGAGATCATGAATGTTCCATCTGTTTCAGGTTAGTCATCAGAGCTTGTTCCGATTTCCATCCCTCGTACATATTCGTGGCGTAACCATTCCTAAATGCTTGGTTGGTTTCAGTTGATGTTCCGATACAAACTCGAATAACCTCAACGACGAGGGCTACAATCACTAGCACAGAGAATTTGAAATGTGCAGTGAATGAGACGGTCGTCGAGTGTGGAAGAGTCTGTGAAGCGGACTGTGTGTCAATTTTCACACGATCCGATTGTGATGAATGCGGTTCACCAGCCTGTGCCTGCATGCAAGGCTATGCCCGTAATCCACAGGGCACCTGCGTTTACTGGGGAGACTGCCCTGTCAATAGTGAGTTGTCCGGTTCCTCCAAAAGAGAGGTAATTTATTGAATTTTTACATGCAGATTCAGCGCAAGCAACATCAACTACCACGTCTGCTCCAACTACCCGAAAGAAGGTTGAAAAGCCTTCGAAAATTAAAGGTGNCCCCCCCCCCCCCCCCGTGGAGCAGCTCCAACATACAAAATCCATGAAATCTTTTCAGTGGGCGGTGATGTTTGCTATGGCGACTTCCGTTATCCTCCCGGATGTTCGGAATGTGATTATAAATTGTCTTGGAACTATGTCGAGGACTCTGATGAGATCGAATTCTCCCTAGAGACTAAGCTCATGCAGAATTCCTGGACAGGCCTGGGTCTCAGCAAGGACGGCTCGATGGTCAGTGTTTTGTTATTGAGCGTTATCTTCGAAGGTATTAAGCACCATGGTTCAGGTAGATGCCGACATGATGATAGTGAAGTCCTTCGGAGGAAAGCTCAGCCTTCATGATATGTACAGCCAGGGGTATGGAGCGCCATTGAAGGATAAGCAGCAAGACCTCTTCACTCCTAATGTGGTTCGCCTTTTGATTTTCCTATCTTGAGGTGGTTTCAAAGCATGATTTTTGCTGAACCTTCAGATTGGAACTCATTCGAACGGAATATTGCGAGCCCAGTTCATGAGGAAACGGAAGACCGGGGACAAAAACGACAGGTCGTTCGTGGACGAATGTTGGAAGATGATGTTCCCCGTGAACGGAGGGAAACTTGACGAGGTTTGTTTGTTTGTTTGTCTGTTTTCTTTCTTGGGAATTCTGGGATTAAATTTTTTCAGAGCGGAAATATCACCGCCCATATAGAAACCCCGTTGGTCACGGAAAAAGAAGTCTGTATTCGAAGCTGTCGTGAGGAAAAAAAAGACACCAGTGAGTTCACGTGCGGAATCGTTGGTTACTGTATGATTACTGTAGAGCACTTCAGATAACACTTCGTGCGAGAACTCTTATCGATACCCGGCTAATTGTACCGGAGACGACTGCGAATATCGAGCTTCATGGACCTACGACAGCGCTAAAAACGACATCCGCTTTGAAATCTCCAGCAGGAACATCGGCAGATGGACTGGAATAGGATTTTCAAAGTGGGATAAACAACACTTGGGTAAACATAAACAATTTTGGAAAAAAACACTGTCATTTCCTTCAGAGATGGCCAAATGACAAATTCGGATATCTACACCGGATGGGTTTATGAAGGAAAAGCTTTTGTTACGGATCGTTTTGCGTATGGGCGGCAACTGCCTGCGATTGATCCAGCTGATCGTCAGAATATCTACGATATAGGAGGAAAAATAGAGGATGACGTTCAGGTATAGGCTTCTTCTTTATCCTGGAGATAAAATTTTACATTGGAGTTATTTACGCTCTTCTTTCTAGACGTTATGGTTCCGTCGTCCAGTGCTATCGAAAGATCACTTGACCGATTTCCCACTCGATGAATGCTGGTACTTCCTGTTTCCCATCGGAGGTGGACGTGTACTTGCCAGAAAAAGCAGTGATTTCACCAATCCCAGAACACCCATAGGTATGTCTCTTCCTTTCATGGGATCACTCATCCCTCATGGGACTCCATGATCTCACTTCATGGCTTTTATAGGTTACCACGATCTCTATCAACCGCGATCCTCTTTGAACAAAATCTGTATATGTGATGCAGACGGAAAGCGGATTTCTGCTCGGTCACGTACTCGACGTGAAGTTGTACTGGCAAATTCCCCACACATTCCCACAAAATGTAAGCTGATCGGGTTATTGATTGAGTCTGTTAGTGTACCCATTGTATCGATAGTCTCTCAAAATGAATATGTTTAGCAAATGCTATGGAATGTACGGATATGGTCGTAGGTTCAGTAATAGATGGTCGAGGACGTGTACGGGACTTCTATTCGCCGTCAAAGGTGTGTTTCCGTCATCAGTTAAAATGATTTGTGGTGGTGGACTAGCTGGAAACTCACCACTCTCTTACTCGTTAATGGCTGGAATCAACACTGGTCTGGGAGCTTACTGGTGTCAGCTTCTCCCTGAAGAACGCTGACCGAAAAAGCCAGCGTCTGAGACTCCTTCACTGCTACCCTACCTGAACGGTTCACCACTGGGTTTTCTTTTTACTGTATCCCACATCTATTTTCGAAGCTAGAGCAGTAAACTTATCAATAGGAGCAGGTTCCCTATTCTGTTCAAGAATCCTTCCATATTCAGGCAACACCACGCCCAGATTCTGTGTTCGGTGGATCTGATTCTCTTACCGCGGCGGCCGCTTTCAGAGAAGACGGTATCACAACTGTTGTGTTCCGGAAAAAACTTCAAGGTAGCTAGCTAACCAGCAAACTTTTTTCCTAACCCTCACTTGAACTCACTTCGAAAAATTCTCCCGACTTCAGCTGAAGACGAATGGGATCACACCATCAAGGGTCCAATGACGGTCATTTGGGCGAAAGGAGCCAATCCTAATAACTATCAACATACAACTGGAGGTAAGCCAAAAGCTTATATAAACATTAAACACTTAATAGATGTACTTTCTTATGGGCCCTAGGTACATATGACCAGGTAAGCACGACCTTTCCTCACAACTTCGCTTTTCAGGAGCCCCAATCAAAGCCGATCCCGACTTTTTCACCAACGATGCTTTCAAGTATCATGGACGTAATCAACGAGGAGTGCTCACGATCGATTTCTTGAAAGGTTCTGAACTTCGTTTTAAAATTAAGAATTCATCATAATTCACTTTTTTTCAGATACTAAGAAAGAGCAACTCAAGCACGGTCTGCACATCGACGCCTCGACTTGTTCGGGAAGCTTCTCGTTCCCAGCCGATTGTATTGAAAGTGATGCTGAAACCCCTTGTCAGTATGTGATGAGATGGGTTAGCGATGGAGAAGTGGCCAGATTCAGTGTTGAGGTAAATCCCCGAGTTTGACGTTATCATGCCAATGTCCTAATAGCAGCCATTCCTTAGGCAAAGATGAAGACTTCCCAATGGGTAGCTGTCGGTTTCTCACCTGACGGAGGAATGGCCGGCTCAGATGCTGTGATCATTGGAATCCAGCGGGATGATGTGGTCACTGTCACCGACCAATTCATGCCCAACTATGGTCGGCCGATTATCGACGAACAGCAGGACATCTTCGATGTAGAAGTGGGTTCCAGCTGTTTTCAATTCACTCTTCAACAATTAGGAATTGCTTGTTTCAGACGAACTACGATGAGGGAACTCTTACGGCGAACTTCTCACGAGAACTGTTCAGTAATGACAAGAACGACATCAATCTACAGGACTGTGTCCATTTGCTCTTCACAATCACCGCCAACCAGATCGAACCTACTGGAGAGATCCGCAAGCATGGAGAGACACCAATTGCTAGTCAAACGAAGGTATTTTGCTTTATAACGCCATCGGTTTGGACACTTTCTACCTTGGTTCCTCACTTTGGGGTCGAAAAATTGTCAGGTGGCACTCGGCCACGTTGTCACGTTGTAGTATAAAGTCCCATTCCCACGCTTCTTTGTCCTTTGAGCCCGACTTGGGTGATTTCGCAACTTTGCACCCTGGCGAAGGCTGTTTACCAGAAGAATGGCCGTAAAGCGAAGAAAATGCAGCCGCCAAAGTATCTTCGCTGGTGTAAAGATCTCTGGATTGAAGGTACAGTCCGGCACTGGGGAGTCTGGACCAATCGCAAGAAAGCCAATGTGGGTAGTTAAAACAACTTGTCGTTACCCATAGTGACAGTGGAAGGTAGTTTTGTACAGTTCTGGCTTGATATAGTCAGTTCTTTGCGCAATCGCAACAGCTGAAATCTCGTCCGAACACTCCTTCCATGTACTTTGCGTCATGGTGATCTCGTCCAACCTTTACTAGCCCTACATTTGAGGAGCCTTATTTTTCTCGAAATCGGCGAATTTTCTCGCGTTCTTCTTCTGTAAAGGGGCACCTCATGATTGTCGTGGACTGTGACTTCAACGACTCTTCATTATAATGCAACATCAGCCCAACCCTTCTGATAGTGAAGTGTCCAATACATAGGTCCTTACTCCATAACCCTCGTCAGGGGAGACGAACACTGTCTCGGACGTCGCTCGTGGATCAGACGTCCCAGTATTCCATTCATCTACTCGAATCCCAACATGACTACAGATAGAACTTGGGCCGGGGCAACAAGGGGATGGAAATGTAGTCGGACACCTAGTTTTTGAATTTTTTTCAAGAATTTCTGTTCCACTTCTGACCAGATTCTTAGACTACTGATAAGAAGGAATGAGGGTTCAGGATCTTCTCTGATCTGAAACTATTTGAGGTGTGCCTGAACACTTGCTCTGAGTTGCCATCGACAGTGAAGATACTGAAAGGTGGTGCTAAAGAAGCTGGTAAATCAGAGACGACTAAACCAACAACGACTACTGAACCAACGAAACCTGAGACGAAAACAAAAACTACAACTGTTCTTCAAATGCCACCGATCATTAAGCAAGCTCGTGAGTTTCTTCGCAAATCCTAAGGCGTGCCCATTGCTTAGGCAGACTTCTTCATTTCCTTGTATGGTATCAAGTTGTTCGATAGTGAATTACGGTATCTCCTTGAAGCATGAATGAGTTCCAGCTCCGTTCGTTGTCTACGAGCCTACGGAACCAGCCAAATCTCGCTATGGACTTCGTGTACGTATTCTCAACAAGGAGTACGTTCCAGCATTGGCTGATCCTCAATCAGAATACTACCAAAGCTTTACGAAAACCGTCACCAGTGCAGTAAGTCCCTATTCACCCTTTCCAATCCCTATTTCTATTCTAAAGCCTTCCCAAATCAGGTTAATGACCTGTTGGCGAAACGATGGAAAGGCATGCAGGTATCCAAGCTGATTGGCTACTCGAAAGGATCCGTCATAGCTGAATTTGAGGTAACGTCTTCCATACCTCCTGGGAGATCTTCAAGGAACTATTTTGTATTTGTAGGTTGTATCTGAAAGAGATGCTCCTCGCCCGATAGAGGTGAAGAGCTTGTTCGAGGAGAATGCCGTACGTGGAACCATTGGAGAATTAGCTATTGAACCTAGCACTATCAAAGCCCACGCAATAGGTTTGCATCAGGTTAATTTATACCTTCGAAGGGTATTATTCACTACGTTTTTACAGATTCCACTCCACTCATGGAGGAGCCTGAGTTCGGAAAAGCCTTCGTGCGAAATCTGGTGATCATCGGAGCTGCAGCTCTACTTCTGATATTCGCAGTTTCCTGTACTTGTTGTCTCCTCTGCCGGGTCAGGAAGTCGTCCAGATATGTGAGTCTATCCTGCTGCCTTTTCTGAGACCTCACTCAAACCACGAGTATTTTAGAACTCTTACCCAGTGCCTCATCCGACTCCCTACCTCTACGGAAATGGTACCTTTTAACTGGTTGTTCACAACCGACTTCATACTTTACCATAGCCCTCCTTTAGGAATGGCCAAAGCCCCAGCAGGTTTCGATAACGCCGCCTTTTTCAATCACCAGCGGCATTACTCTCAAGCAACGACTGCTTCCACCAAAAATGGAAACAGTCCCCAATCTGCAGAAGGTCGTGGAGAAACTCCCGGCGGAATAGGAGAAACTACCTACCAGGAATGGTACTCCAAGGTGAGTCCATATATAGCTTTACAGATATTCTGATCTAATCGCTCCTAATTCGTAGGTGGGCTCCAAGCCGGCATCACAACAACACGAAGAAGCCCCAGTGACCGCTACACGTCCCCCATCGACGACCCCATATGTCTCCTATCCAAATGATCCGTCCGGCTACTACACCCTGGGCGGCGAACATCGAACGGAATCAGGCCCCAAGCATTTCCGATCTCCGTTTTGAGTTCTCTCTAAAGCGTTCTTAATAATTTGCCATTTCTGAGTACATAGGCTCTATAATATTATAATTGAGATATATTGATTGAATTTTTCTTCACATGTCTCCTTCCAGTACTACTGGTTTATGTTTGTTTGTTTTTTCTTTCTTTCTTGTATTTGTTTACTATTTATCGTTGCTCCTGCCAGCTTCGAGTTGATCACATACGAGAATAGTAGGGTGCTTAGTGTGATCTTTTGCCTTGTCGTTCATTCCCAAAGTCTTCAATTTCCTATGCGGAACAGTTGTGCAAGTTCCTTTTGGTGATTTTCTGCTGCCTTTAGACATCATTGAAAAAAATAAATATAATTAAACAAATAATGCTTCCTGTCATGGCACAGAATCTCTGCAGGTGCCTTCCACTCTTTTGCAGAAACTGATTTGGTGAAGTGAATAGTAATGCTTGCCTTTGTCTTGAGAAAGTATAGAAGCCCTTAAGATAATGCCGGCGGATTAGCTTTTTGAGGAATTCGGAGGGCATCCTGCCCAAAGACATCATCTTTTCTGGGATAGCTTCATTCAGCTCCACAAAGGTCATCTTTCTGAGGGAACTCGAGGGCACGCAGAGGGAAAGGAGCTAAAATTGTCCTGGTGGCATTGCTGTTGTTATTGAATTCAGTTATAATCACAACTGAGCTCTAAGGCGATTCATACCATTTTATACATCCAAGACCCTTTGTTGGGCTTCAGATTAGCCTGTCAGGCTTGAGTTGACTTAAACAGCGACTGCTACCCCAATTACTGTACAAGTGAAATAACATTCAGGTCCATGAAACCGCTCGGGCGCGTTCCAAAGTGGGGTTGATTGAGGCAACAGCTTTTGCAGCTCCTTCCAGTCGGGGTATTGACGGGTAAAGAAAAAATCGCTGAGGGTCAAAGAGCACTGAGACGAGTCTGAGGCTTCTGAGAGGAGCTCATTAAAGGAACCGTTCACATAATTTTGGGTAATCCACATTATGATAAAAAACGAAAGACAAGATCGAAACTAGTGCAACTGAGGTGAAGAAACTGCGTGCATCGGTGTTTCCATAGTGAAAAAAGGCTTCGAAAAAACGTTAAAGAGGGGCTGGACGTGAATGAAACCAGAAAAATGAAGAAGGGTGGGGCGTCCGGACGAACTAAATAGTGTGTTTTACTGCGCGCGTGTGGGTCTTGGTGCGAAGAACAGACAATAGTAAGCAAAAATTCTTTCAATTATAAGCATAAATAAACTTAAAAACCCTAGTAACAGCAAAAGTAGCTCACCTTTTTCAGCCTCTAGGAGTAGGAAATTAAATAAGGGATCGCGGCAGCAAAAAGAAAAACAGA